CAGGGATGCAGCTACATGAAAAATACAAGGAGAACTTCGACGATTCGAGCGAAGGCCCTACGTCGGGAAGTTAAACATGAAGCGAAATGTCGTCAGAATTTCACCCGACATGCAAGAAAACGCTGCTGCTGGGTGCCGTTGGTATGAAAATCAATCCTATCCTTCACTGAAATTGCATAACACGCAGTTACATAAATTAAAGTTTACGCAAAATATGAAACGACCGCAAAGTATAGGCTTGGTGAACTTTTCTGCGTTGATGCGTAGACCTTCCTCCACGAGAAACAAAGGGAGATATACAAAATAGGCTAAATTTAGCCTGAATAGTTACGCAGTTAAAGTGGTGCTGCATTTAGCTGTTAAACGTGTATCTGTATGGTTAGAAACTTGTATGAAACTCTATTTTGAGCTTTGTTAACACTAAAATTACCTGGTTTGCCTCTTCTAAAATATCGATTAAATTTTGGGCTTGTTTCCAATCTTCTCGCGTAATAAAACTTAGAGACGAACCTTTTGACCTAAAATCACAAAATTCATGAAACATTATACTTTGTTGGCATCTCGATTGAATAATATATTGGCTGACGGGTCTTGCATGTAGATAGAAATTATCGAGTGGAAATTTCTATACATTTATTCGACCTAACCAGGAACAGCTGCGAACAATCGAACCTGCGGCCCTGGACCATAGATATCTTATATACACTGGATAGCGCATCTCTTTTAGTAAAATTGAAGCCAAGAATATTCCAGCGGTTACCCCAATTTGAATAGATGGCGGCCATGTTGGAGTTTCCCACTCGCTAATAAACGCAAATTCATCATTCATAACATCACGCAATTCATAATAATATTCATCATTTGAATAGTTTCAAAATGTATTTGGAATAGGTTTAACTTAATGTTTAAGTTCCCTGTTTAAGAAATAGAAAACATACGAATCTTCTCATTTCATGGGAATATCCTGAGTCTGCAATCACGGCTTCAATTTCTGAATTGCAGAATACTGTAATTAGATGCACTATCTAGTGTATATAAGATATCTATGCCCTGGACTCTGTAGCTCAGTAGGTTACAGCGCAGTGCAGCAGCCGTTCCTTTAGGTCTAATAAATGTACACTCATTAATTAAGCTTATTGGCAAAACATGTCAACCATAATATGTCACGTGAAGAGGCTGTATATACCTGATACAACTCATCTTCATTAGTATTCTTTACATTGAAGTCCATCCTAATTAGTATTCTTTATATAAGGAATACTAATGAGACGGCATCTATGTTGTAGTCGTGTTCGAAGTACTAGGGAGCTTAAGCATGTAGGACGGCAACACGACGACGAAGTAAAGAAAACTTGTCGTATATTATAATTCGTATATGATTTTAATACAGTATAAGAAGTTGAAAACATTGGCTTTATGTTTGGGAAGAGTTCTACTGAACCGAATTTTAAGTTGCACTTGTTACGGCTTGAAATGCAGGCGTTGTATAAAAGCTGCCTATTATTTAAAATACACGTCCGAGTGTTTTATACCATACTTAAAATGCTCGTGCTGCCCTCCTCCCCGTTGTTAGACGCTATATGCATGTTGAACTTATATAGATAAGTTATGTGTAGTGGGCGTTAGTAATACCCCCACATTTTCTGTGCTAAATGTTATATAGTTATTAATTAATAATTTTTCTTGTTAATTATTAAAAATTGATCAAAACAATAAAGCGGCTATGTGCTAACAACCGGGCACATAAGCCATAATTATGCCACAAAGGCTTTGACTGGTCTTGTAGTATTCGGCAGCACAGAAAACCGAGCTCAACCTGACAAACAGTTTGCCGATGGTGGTTTAATATATGCAGGGAAGCGATAAATACTTATTTAATTTTTTTTAATCTGGAGGGAAACTGGAAAGCCTCTGGTTTTCGAGAGAAAGGGACATTAAAATAATCGAAATAATCTTTTGATTAAAGGGACATTAAAATAATCGAAAAACTGTCGGCAAGCCCTCCTCCCCAATCCACGCCCAATTTATGACGAAAAAATTCTTGGGCAATATTTATCAACGCGTGGCAAATTTTTACTGGACTGCTACGTTTGAAATGTCATGTGTACCGTATTGCGATACGATAATAAATAAAAACAAAGAAACTACAAGTACTGTATTATGAATGTTTACATTTTAGTAAATCTACGTACCCAGCGCGACCAGTTCTTCCAATTCTATGAACGTAATCTTCAATTGCTCGAGGAAAGTCGTAGTTTATCACATGTCTAGATTATACAAAGGATGAAACAATGCTCCAATTTAGACTACAACCTCGTACCCCGGCTCTTACCACTACTAGCCTCGTCTCATGGGAAAGACCTTGGTCCAGGCTGGTCACGTGTCTCCCAGATTTTGGGAGATAACAATTGGGACATATGGAGGGTAGGGAAGGCAAATGTGGCGTTCGAGTTCAAAACAATACAAGGAGTGTGATTAAAGCAACACAAAGGAGTACCATGAAACTAAGTGTTTATTGGCATGTATTTTTCATAAAATACGTCATAACGGTTATTCTAAGGGACGAAGTTGTTAACAAGGCCTGACTGTATGTTTCAAATTAAACTCGTAAATGTTACTCGATAGATGTTCTTCTCGAAGCTCACTCAACGACACAGCCGCGGGTTTAGTTTTATATCAACAAGAAAGGGACAAAGGGAATTAACATTCTCGGGCAGTTGCCTGCTTGTAACCATCGCCCTCGTATTTTGGGGTGTTCAAAATAAAAGAGAAAATTATCTCACGAGTCTATTATCTCCCGTTCACATTTGGCGTAGTCGGCAGGATTATTTTGAACATTCGTGCAATAAAATATTAAAATACTATATATGTCTGATGAGGAGCAAAACGAGGGCGGCGATGTTGCTGGTGCAGCAGCCGAAGGCGGTGAGGACAACTCTCTATTGGAAACCTTAATGGCTGAAATCGAAAAGTTAAAAAAAAATGAGAATAACACACAAAACAAGCACTTTCAGCAGTAACTGTTAGCCAGGGCGAGGCTGGTACTTCAAGTAAGAATGCACCAAATAGTCCAGCATAGACACCCCAAGTTGTGTATGTTTTCCGAGAGCGTAAAATACAAAAGTTTTCTGGTAGTCGAAAGGCAGATGAAGATACAGTGGAGAATTTTGTTGACAATGTGAAAAGTTTGATATCAGCTAGGAAAATGACCCAAATTGAACAAACAGACTTTGTGTTATCACTTTTGGAATCATCAGCAAAGAAGAAATATCTGCAATGATAAAATCTGCAATATCTTATTTGAGGCTTTTGGCGAGCGGAGAACCACACCACAGTTACTTAAGTCATTTTACGAACGAAAACAAAAGGATACAGTTCTCGCATGCGCTGTGTGAGATTTACAATCGAATTTATTCGCGAGACCCCACCCTCATACCTTCTCGTGACCAGGCCCTCCGTGACCGACACGGAGATCCACTTCTACGAATTAAAGCGCATGGTACGAAGCAACTCCAGCTCTAAGTTCCTAGAAGTACGAGAAGAAGCTCTACACTGGGCAGAGGAGGATGAAAAGCTGCGTCCTACAAAAGGAAATGTATCAAGTGAAGCAGTCTCAACCACACAGCCAAACAAAGAGATGGATAAAGTATTGCAAGCCCTCGAAGAGCAGCGTAAGTCGATTGATAATTTGTTCCAAACCCTTATTTCCCTTTCCAGATCCAACAGTAATATTCAGCGGAATCAGGGAGGAAGAGGCGGCCGAAACCCCTCCCTCCGCGGCTTTGACGAAAGAGGGAACAGAATTTGTTTTAAGTGCCAGGGAGTCGGACACATGCAAGAGATTGTGTGAATAATACAAGTCAACGCCAGAATGACAGTCTTCCCCCATCCAATGGCCCACCACGCATTCCATGTCCCTGGGTTTACTAATAGCCTAAAAAACATGCCTTTAGTTTTCGTAAGATGAATTTGTAATTTATTTCTTTGTAACCCATACACTTATATTTTCTAAATCCCTATTTATATTATTATTAGTCTTTTGTTATTATAGAAGAAATCCAAGTATATATTTATTCTGGATAACTCGTTCAGTCCCTAGAGGTCCAGTAGCGAAGTGTCAACCACGGTTGGTCCAGTGTTGCTACAGAAGAAAATCTACCAAATAGCTCTATATCAGATCCAAATTGTTTGTCATTTCCATTGGTCCAGTATGAGGGCCCATTTCCACTCACGAAAAATTTCCACAGGACAGAAAATTTTCCGAAAATATCATTGTTAAAAGTTGAGAATGTTCAACTTCAAAACTTTCTTCCAAAGGAAAATTTATGTTGGCCAATCACATTCTACAAAGTTTTCATTCTGCGGAAATTGCGTTTACCACCGGAGAAACCAGAATAAACCTGCTGTTTTTAGGAGAGTCAATTACAATCCTAGAATTCTTAAAGAAGTCTTACTTACGTGACTCCTTTAATATCCAATCCTCTGGACGCAACATCGGTTGCAATGAGCACACGTACACGTCCCGTCTTGAAATCATCTAAAGCTTGTTCTCGGTCACATTGTTCTCTACGGGAAAAAGACAAACAAAATATGCTTTGCACAAGTCAAAATTTACATTTGTTCCTACTTTCTACTATACAACTGGAAAAACAGATTTTGATATTTGCATGAGTGCAGTTGTAAAAGTTAAACCCTTAATTTTTGGAACTAGTTACCGGTAAGATTTATACATGCACATAGTGGGGAGGACAAGTATATATATATATATATATATATATATATATATGAATAATATAAGTAAAAACTCATCATCCCTTGCGCGCTCACAGTTTAAGGTTTTAGCTTTTGGAAGGACAACCTTAATTGAACATGATTTTTTATCACATATAAAAACTTTAATTAACACATTTAAAACTTTGCAATTTATAACCGAAGTTTGGCTGACAATGACTTGAATATACTGAAAAGTAACGTGGAATAAAACAAACTAGCAAGTTAGCAATTGTAAAATATAGTAATAGTTTGATTTCACAACTGACAAGTGATAAACCTGTCGATTTGAAAATGTTTTTGTATTGTTTATATTGTCGTAATTGTACACACGCAAAAGTCTCGCATGTTGTAGCAAGTCTGCCAACAAGTTGTCTTCGCACTGCTTGCCCCAAGTTGTCAACAAGTTTATCAGACTTGTTGCAAGGTTGTTCTAACAAGTCCGATACAATCATGGTCAAGTGAACAGCCAAAAGAAAGAAGAAAGCCTGGCTGAGACTCTGATTCTACCAAACAAACGGAATGCCAACAGCATGAAATGTACAATTCCGTCAGGCATTTCACTGTATACGGAACAACGGAATAGCGTAAATTTAATCCCTTGTTTTGATCAGTGTGCATGTGATAGTGATAACCTCTTTCAAAGATTCAAATTTACTTACCTATCACCATGGATGCACTGTATACCAGCAGAAACATATCTTAACATAAAATCACTCGCTACATCGTCTGCCCTGAAACGAAACGCAAGCACGATCATAGAATCAGGGCTTTTAGAATCATTTAAAGTAAGTAGCTGTGGTGAGAAAGTAGGGGGACGAAAAATCATTTTACTAAAATATAGACCAGGTTTTTAACGCTAAAAGGACAACATTTTGATGAACGTGGGTTAGGATAAAGTACAAAGAAATTTTAACAAAAATTAGTCCTACATCTTACTGTATTTGTGGCCATTTTTATTGGTTTTGAGATAAAAGCTAATTTACGTGTGCTAACACTATACACCGTTACAAATTAAATTTAGCACTTATGTAAACCCAAAATATTTTAAAGAGCAAAGAATTTAACGAGAAGCACTGGAATTTACAATTTTGAAACCCGAGATGCTTGGTTTGCAATCAGTAGAAAATATAACGGCGTTTGTGTTCACACGAAACCGCCAAGTGCTCCGTTTTCATCTCGTTCCATTTAAACATTTTCTGCGCCGTTTTCAAACCATTACAGCGTAGCGTGACTATACTTAAATTCCAGTGTTTAAATATTAGTATAGTGAAACTCGTAACACCCACTGGAAGGCTCCAATGGCCATCACCTTATTTTGACAACCTATACATAACACATCCAAACGGAAAGTACACAGTCTTGGTTATAGAGCCTCGTTTTCGTGATTGAGATTTTGGATTTGGAGTCTTTTTCTTGATAGGTGACACTTTTCCACAAATACAACAAAAAGTCTTACTGTTGCGCTCTCATGTAATTACGTTATCATGCAATTCAATCGCAGACAGATAAAGATGTCCTTCTGCAACACGTTCTTGACTCTGTGGTTAAATGGTTCGCTTCGAAAGACTTTATGTTTACCCCCCAGTTCGTGTTGACTTTTGGGAGATGGAGGTTGTTACACGATCTTGTGCTGTCGGAATGGATTCTGCTGTTAGTTGTCAGATTGAAGTCGAAATCTATCAGTCCATTGTTTATATTTGCGAAATGAGAGAGTTAACCAGAGTAATGTAGCGAGAGCTTCGGTTGCCGAAGAAAGAGGAGGAAGATCTAGTATTAATTTCGCTACTTTATTTTCCAAGGTTTGCAGGGAGTTCAACATCGCCATAGTCGAATAGCGGTAGTATTGTCGCGGTATAGAAAATCTGTCTTGCATCCAGCGGCAAGAAATATTTCACACAGCTTGAATCGATCAATTGAGATTATCCAGTTTCGATCAAGATTATCCAAGATTATATTATTCACGATCGAGATTATCCAGTCTTTGGTTGATTTTCCCCATTAATTTTTCAATAGTTCATGCCAGGTAAGGTTCTCGGTAATTGTGATGCCCAGATATTTCAACGATCGTTCTCGTTTTATCGTCGATTGCAAATAGAGATGTTGATGTTGGGCGTTGTCTACCGGCGAAAATTATGAACTTTGTCTTGTCATGATTGAGTGTAAGGAGGTTGTTGTTAAGATAACCGGAAAGGGATCGTACGTCGGAGTTAAGTTTTGATTGTAGTTCGGAAATACTTTCTGCAAAATAATAAAGGTGTGTGTCATCAGCATAAAGTATCGACTTGCCGTGGGTCAGGCATTCAGGTAGATCATTAATATAAATAAGGAAGAGAAGTGGTCCAAGAATACTTCCCCGAGGGACTCCGACAGTTACTGGCTTGGGACATTGAACTGTTGATCATGGTTACTTGGGTACGGTTTGATAGATACGAGCAGAATCAGTCGAGAACAGACGAGGTAAAACCGATTGTTTTCAATTTCTGCAATAAGATGGTATGCATGGCCGACGGTATCAAAAACTTTCCTTAGGTCGATAGAGACGGCACCAGTAATCTTTCTGTGATCGCGATTATCCAGTAGTAAAATGTGCCAGGGCAATGGTAGTAGACAGTTTGGAACGAAAACCGAATTGCTGGGAAGCTAGTGACTTGTGTTCTTGCAGGGAATTGTAAACTTGATGGTGGACGATTCGTTTTAGTAACTTACTCAAGGTTGGTAGGATGGTGATTGGTCGGTAGTTGTTGGACGAAGTTGGGTCTCCAGATTTGAAAATTGGAGTAACTCTACCTTTCTTCCAGATGTCGGGAAATGAGCCACAGCGTAAGGAGTGGTTGAAAATTTTGGTCAAATATGGTGCAATTACATAAGCGGAATCTCTGAGTAGTTAAGCACTAATTCCGTCCAGACCAGTGGCTTTGTTAGTTCTTAGTTTACTCATTCCTGCAACACAGGCATTTCATCAACTTATTTGAAATTAAGGGAATGGGGTGATGTAGCGGTGGTATTAGTCAATTTAGGTTTGATTAGATCTTTAATTTTGTTCGCAAGCGTGGATCCTATAGATGAGAAATAGTCGTTCATGATTGTTGCGATGGAACGTGGGTCGTTTACCGGGACGTTTTCACTGATAATACAGGAAGGAGTGGTTTTAGTTGGATTGCGAGAAGTGACTTCACAACCTTACTGTTTTCCAAATTAATGCACCGCTTAATTTAACCATTAAGCGGATATTCAGAGACCAATAAAAAACAATTAAGACACAATGCGGAGAAATGCTCCGATTATACTTTAAACTGTGGCCAAGGTGTCACCCCACAGACTCACTATTACAGCATTATGATTATGATATAATTATATGTCCTCAGGGGGTCGTGGTTCCCCCATGTTGGACTTTACCCAAGGGGTAGTAGATCCCCGAGATGGGCATCCTAAATGTCCAAGGGGTAGTAGATCCCCGTGATGGTCATTGTTTACTTTAATGTCCAAGGGGTAGTAGATCCCCGTGATGGCCATTGTTTACTTTAGTGTCCAAGGGGTAGTAGATTCCCGTGATGGTCGTTGTTTATTTTAAAATAAACTGTATAATACATTGATTAAAATAAACTGTATAATACATCCATCCTTACAAATGCGCAGCAAACGCATTCCCCATAGACAATATGCCCTCGCCCTGAAAGTTGGATCAGGATTTTTCAGTAAAATAGTTCTCAAATCTTGGCTAGTGTGGCTGCAACGCTCAATAGTGTTGATGAAGGCGTTTGTATATATCGTTCATAATTAACAGTCAGAAGACCAGCGACCCAAAGTTTTAATAAGCCTGGAAGGTAATTTCGCTGCAGCTGCTGTCGTTGCAGCATCAGTTCTGTACTACTATGACCCACAAATTTTCAGGCATTGAACCAAGCTTGAGCAAGCAGTTTCGTGTTTCTAGTGCTAGTGCCTGTTTTGTAAGTGGTTTACCCACAGCATTTACAAACAGAGGACCTGATTTTGGCGCTCTTATGGCTAGATATTGTTTCATGGCCAACACTGTACAAAGTGGTGTGTTTGTTCCTCCAATGGTTATTGTGTGCCCAACCCGAAAGGGGTCAGTTTTGGATAATTTTATGCGTGTGAAAATGACAGTAGTTGGTTGGATTTCGTTGGAGAAAACAACATCTTCTGGCATGAGGTGAGTATCACCATTGAATTTTGAATTACATGTTAACTCTCCAAGCCTCAGGAAGCCAAAGAACACCAATGTTATGGCAGCCCAAGACATAATTGAGTCGAAATTTGTTGTGACAGGTAATGCTACCGTAGCATCATATGGAAAAGTTTTAAGTGGTAGATTATTATTGGCAGACGCACTCGTACTTTATCTCTTTGTGACCGTTTTATACGTCGAAGAACCAATTGGAGGCGCAACATCTTTTGCCAATCTAATGAAAAACCATTTCTTATATGAAAATGACGAACCGTTGCGAGATTGACGAATGTTTGATGCTTTTGGCTAAATAGGCTGAAAATTTCATGAGTGTTTCTTCACTTGCTGGTAAGAGATGTTTTCCTTCTTGGGACCGATGTAAGTTGACAAAAGAGATAAATCGTTTTTCCCCAGCACTGTAAGTCTGTTTGGTCGAGGCAGCCAGTGACAAATCAATATAATGTTCAATGTCTTTAGATTTTCAGCAGAGGTCTGGAATTTTGTGAGGGATGGCATCTGCTTCAGGTGCTAGGAGCCGAAACGTTTGAAACTGGAAACGAGGAAGGGAATCGGCAATTTCATTATATTTTCCTGGTATGTGCTTTGCCCTGATGTATATATTATACTTTAATGTCAGCAGTGTGAGGTGACGGAGGAGATCCATTGCCCGGGGAATTCTTGATCGCTTGGAATTATCAATGTTAACAACTGATTCATTGTCACAGTTCAGGTTTATGCGTTTGTTTTGGAGAGATTCCCCACATATGTGACATGCAACCACTATGGCAAACAATTCTTGCCAGGCTATGCTAATTTCCGGCTCTCTTAATTTCTGATGGGGTTCCCATTTACCTTGAAACCATTTCCCCCTGAAGAATCACCAATAGCCCCAAACCCCTGATGCATCAGTATGGAGCTCGAGGCATTCCGAGTCTTCCCATGCAGAAGACAAGAAAAAGCTTGAACCGCTCCAGTTAACAATGAACTGTTTCCACATCTCAAGATCCTTAAAAAAGCATGCACTAAGTTTTATGAGGTGGTGGGGCTGTTTTATATTTCTTGCCAGTTCGATCATTCTCTGTAAACAAGGGCGCCCTGGGGGAATAACCTTGCATGCAAAGTTAAGGGAACCTATAAGCGATTGAAGTTCTTTCAAGGTACATGACCGCCTTTTTTGAAATATATCAAAGGCAACACGGAGGCGTTCAATTTTGTCAGCAGGAAGACGTGCTTCCATTCGAACACTGTCCAGGATAATACCCATAAATTCTAATACAGTTGCTGGACCTTGTATTTTGCCTGGTGCTACTGGGATGTTAAGGCTCTTAAATGTAAGCATCATGGCAGTTAAACTTTGTTGGCAAGTGTGATCCTGTGGGCGCACCAGGGCTGGTGGCTCCAAAATAAGAAAATCATCCAAAATATGACATACAAATGAAATCATACACTTATTTGTTAAGATCCACTCAATAGCATCTGAAAGTTGGTTGAAAAGATACGGAGCACTTCAGAGACCGAAAGGTAAAACTTTCTCATGATAATATTTCCCGTCCCAGTACATGCCGAGAAGCTCGTAGTCGTTTGGATGGACAGGAATTAGCCGAAAGGCAGATTCAATGTCAGTTTTAGCTAAAAAAAACCCAGCCGTGGCCGAAATGCATTCGATTGCATTGTCAATTCTGACATACTGGAGACTGAAATCTTCCTTGGAAATTGATGCGTTGATACGGGTTTGACCCGCCTTTAGAAAAGAAAGATGAAAAATTGTTCGAAATTTTGCCGAATTCTTTTTAGGTACTAAACCGATTGGCCAGACTTGGAAATTAGGAAATGGTGTAGTCTCGAACGGACCAGCCAAACGGCCAAGAGAAATTTCATGTGCCAAATTAGCCGTTATAATATTCGGTTGGGTAAGGGCAGTAGGCAAATTTTTTTAACATCTGGGGGTCCTCTGCCCTTCAAAACCTATACGGGTCCCCTCTCTTAAATTTGAACATAATTGTGAAACAAGCGTTGGATCGGGATGTTCTGCTGAAAAATCTTTTAATTTAGATACAAAAATAGGAGTTAGTGGGTTAACTACATTATTAGCGTTTAGCTTGGGTGGACTGGCGATGGCCGCTGGTTGAGTGCTTTGCTTTTGTTGTGTGCACTCGGGCCCTTTCATCACCAGAACAGGTATTTCCAGGATGTTCCCCATAACAGCGGTTGCAAACATGGCGATATTTACATTGATTTCGTCTACACACTCCGGTCCTATTGAAGTCCCAGCAGATGCCCTCTTGTTCGGCCCCCAGGGTGGCATATTGTTGGGGTCCATTAATGAAAAGAGGATATTCCTCTTTAAGGGTAGCTGGGTGTACAGTAAAGATCATCAGCCATTATCATTATTTCAGACCAGTTGAGGGATTGGTTAAGGGCAGCCTTCCGACGAAACTTGATATTATATATACACCGACCCACCCCTTTGTGACATTAAGTAGCATGGCGAATGATACTCATATACTGTAAGAACTCCTGTGCTCGGTTAGGAAATTCATGAGCAAAACAGCTCATGTATGTGGTGAACGCCGTCGTCCACTTCTCGATATCTGTAATGCTAGTGGTAGACTGAGTGGATGACTCAACTTTGCTAACAGAATTTTCGAGCGTTAACATAACAGGCTGTTCGTCTGCCGTATTAAATACATTCTTTGACAAAAGTTTTGATAGTTCGAAAAACTCACCCGACTGGATCTTCTTCACATATGATGGCGGTACGTCGTGGAAAGATTGTCCATATGGCAGACTTTATAATGCTATTAAAGGGCATGTATAAACTTGCTGTTCGGCAGGTTTATCTCTGTTGTCATTTTGATAGTAGTTGGATTTACATATCTTAACTTGCTGGTTTATGAAATTATAATAATAGCTTTATTCATCCATCTTAAGATAAAAAAGTACAATGGACTTACAATTACTTGTTTAATAAAGTATATGCTGTGAATATGTCTAAGAAGTTAAAACTATTTATAAATATTTACAAGCTCTTCCTGAAAAAGAGAGTTTATGCCTTTCATTTCCTGAGAAGAATGATATATTAAGATTCCGGTCAATGTTCCTTAAATTGTACTGATTGTTAATTAATTTGGGCAAAACACTGTGACAGGGATGGTTTGGATCGTTCATAAACCTATCCACTTCTCGACTACTTGCCTCTTCCCTTCTTTCGTTCAACGGTGGCAGGTAATCTTTTTCCAGACCAAGGATTCGTAAGCTCCTGGATTGAACCCGCTCTATTTCATCTCGCAGGCAATTAGGGAGTCCCTCCCAGACAGGTGATGCATACTCGAGAATTGGTCTTAGTTTGGATTGATAGGTAATAATACCGACTTCAACTGGTAACCGCAATTTCCCGCATTCTCTAAGATGGTAGAGGCGTTTATTTGCTTTTCGTGTAATCTCTTCAACATGTGCGTTCCATTTTAGATTATTTATTTTTACGCCAAGTAATTTAAAAACGTTGACCCTTTCTATTAACTCATTTCCAATACGACGACGTGGTGGTTCAGGTATAGCGTCTGTGAAAGAGATCCACATGTCCTTAGTTTTTTTAGCATTAATTGCCATTTTATTTAACACAGCCCAGTTATTTACTTCATTGATAGATTGTTGTAAATTACTATTAGAATGTACGCTCACTATTTGGTGTTGTGTGCAGTCATCTGCATACTTATTCGTACTGACTTTTAGTTGTTCTGGTAAGGCGTTCTCCAAATCATCAATGTAGGTATTAAAAAGAATGTGAGATATTACAGAGCCTTGCGCGACTCCGGCAGGGCACGTTGCAATGGATGATAAAGTACCATTGAGATTTACTTGTTGAACTCTTCTTAAGATCGCGGTACATATTCCAGTGGTATTCTGATTATACTTTTGGGCATGTCGTAAATGGAAATCGCGTTCTCGCATGAGGTTAAGAAGTTCAGAGGTCATCCATGGTGCTCTTACGGTAGATTTTTTACTCTCTTGGTTTTCATAGGGGCGTGCTTATCGGCCGATTCACAAAATGTTTCGCAAAACTTATTGGTAATTTCATTAATATCATTTAACGTGTCAACGAAAGTCCAATCTGATTTTCATAGATCATCTTTAAATTTGCTTTCACTGTAACGTTTGTAGCAACGATAATTAATGTCTCTATAACATCTGCCAAATTTAGGAAGTCCAGCTTTAATTGTGCAGTATAATAAGGGAATGATCGCTGCAGCATGATTGACAAAGGAAAAACTCCGCTAGAAACAACGCGTGGATTATTGTTCACAAAAATCAAATCAATCATTGATTGCGTTTTTTCCGTGATTCTTGTTGGTGACGTAACGATTTTTTCGATCGAGTGAGCTCGCGCAAGTGATTGCATGCGCGATCTATCCGTCGAGCGTTGTTTGTACTGTAGTCAACACTGAAATCACCCAATAAAACAAGTTCTGCGTTTTCTGGAATTTTAGCAAGATCTTTGTTTAGTTCCTCGATAAATTTACTTAGTGGAAGTTCTGGTGGTCTACAGGCCGAGCAAATAAACATTGATTTCGTACGAGGTCGTATAATCTCAATCCAACATGTTTCAATTCTTTTACTACATAAATCATCACGTGTTCGATATGGCAAATTCTCCTTAACATAAGTAGCTGTTCCACCACCAGCTTCATCTTTACCGTCTTGACGAGTAATATGGATTCTTGCTGATAAACATGCGTACCAAATCAATCTTCGGAAATAAACTTCCTACATTAAGATGAGTTACTTTGAGCCCCCTTTTTAAACAACCAGGGATTTCAAACACAGGACCAGGATTACTTTCAATATCACCAGATAAAGGTAGAAGAATGATAGCAATAGAAGTGTCTATAAACAATCTTGATCCAAGAAGAAAGTAGCTACATCGAGTTTCCTAGCGGTTTATGTTTAACGGTTTTTCTTCGCATATTTCCATTATAGACAGGTCTTGAGCAAGCGAGTAATTCTGACACGTATAAAATTGAACTAGTACAAGATAAACATTTTTCCCTTTGCTTTTTGACTATAGAACCATTTAAAATCAAACAAAAATACAAAATTATTAACAAATTGCGGGAGCACAAAAATCCCCGACTGAACGCCATGACGGCGCGCACGCAATTGTACTTGCACCGCTAAAGCAAATCGAACGCTTGGTTTTCTCTTGGTTTTCTTCGTTGACGAAAGGCCTTCGCTCGAAACGTCGAGATGTCGAGACTTTATGATCTAGATGTCTCTTCTTTTGTCACTTTCTCTTCAACCTTTGTCTCTCGCATTAGGACAAATTACCAAGAAAGGTTACTAACTTCTAATCTCTGTAGAACCAGACTGTTTTTCTTTGGAACAATGCACTTTTCATGTTAATATTTGTCCAAAAACATCAGTGTGTTAATGTGTATTTGTGTCCTTAAATAAATGTATGTTATAACTATTGTTGTCTTTCTTGGCTTGGTATTAATATGGGGTTCTTGTCCTTCATATATATGTTATATTTTTAAATTTAATAGTTATTTGTTCATGTATAAAATGTTGTAAATTAATAAATAAATAAATAAATAAATTGAAATCAGATTGAAATGCAGTTGCACTGGTAAATAACACTAAACATAAAAGACCGGTTTATGACTATGCCATCAGAAACAAGACAAAGTACTCTTATACCGCCATATTTAAAGGACATTGGCAATAAAAAATTAGTTTAGTTCATTTGAAAGTTCCAAGAAGGCGGACAGCTCATTAACTTCGGTCTAAATATTTCGGGAACTAAGCAAGATATGACATTTGGTATGATATGACATATTTTAATAATTTTGATGTTTCGAACCTAACCCGTAGTCTTAGTTTGAAGCAAGTCGTTTCTGCTCCTACAAGGGGGTCATCTACCCTTGATCTCATCGTCACCGATTTACAAGATTTTTATGACAAGCCGCATATTCTTGCTCCGCTTGGGTCTGCTGACCACAACATAGTACGATGGGTTCCTAATAAAGTTGATGCTATTACCAAACCTAAACCGATTAAGCGTCTCATACGCCGCTATCCGCCTTGAATTCTTTCGGCCGATGGGCCAGCACGCATCAATGGTTCAGTAATCTGGGTCCAAGCCCTTCCGTAGATGACCTAGCTAATTCCTTCTCATCCCAAGTATCTACAGCATTTGACAGTCTTATTCCCCTGAAATCTGTTAGGTTTTGCCATTCCGATAAACCATGGATGTCTGTGTCTATCAAAAAACTCATTAATGACCGTCAAAGAGCTTTCCATGGTGGAGATGTTCTGCGGTGGAGAACTTTGAAATATAAGGTCCAGACCGAAATAGCCGTAAGAAAGAAAGAATATTACAAAACTAAAGTACAACATCTTAAGAAAGACGATTGCCGAAAGTGGTGGCAAGTCGTAAATAAGTTGTCTGGCCGATCTCAGAAGTGTACTAAACTTACCTTTGAAAAGGAAGGTGAATTATTATCAGATTTAGAACTGGCCAATAACTTGAACAAGTTTTACATCTCGGTTAACGCAGACATTCCACCACTAGATATAACTACGTTACCAGCATACTTACCTGCTGTTGATCAAGTGCCTTACATCGAACCGCACGAAGTCTGTGAGAAATTATTGGTCGTTAATGCCTCCAAAACATGTGGTCCTGATAATATTCCAGGTCGCCTTTTGAAGGAATTTGCGCACCTTTTCGCTGAACCAGTTGCGAAAATCTTCAATATGTCACTTGCATCCGGGATTGTTCCAAATATATGGAAAGACTCACATATTACTCCCATTCCAAAAGTTAAACAACCAACTGACGAGGGTGACACAAGACCCATTTCACTAACGCCATGCCTTTCTAAAATTCTCGAAGATTTTGTCGTTAGATGGATGATCTCTGACGTTAGGAATAATATTGACGCACAACAGTTCGGTTCTTTAAAGGGTTCATCCACGACCTATTGCTTGCTCGACATGTTGCATTGTTGGCTTTCTCATTTAGATTCAACTGGTCATTTTCTTCGCATATGCTTTTTGGATTTTTCAAAGGCCTTCGATCGTATTGGCCATAACATTCTTATCCAAAAACTTGTTGATATTGGCGTTAGGCGATCGTTAATACAATGGATCGTAAACTTTCTATCAGGGCGAAGACAGCGGGTCAAACTTGCGGAAGCTGTTTCTTGTTGGCTTCCTGTTACAGCCGGTGTCCCCCAAGGTACGAAGTTGGGTCCGATCCTGTTCTTAATTATGGTCAATGATTTACAATGCGGTTCGGGGAGGTCTGGCAATTGGAAATTCGTTGATGATGTTACTATCTCTGAGGGATTATTAAGGAATGGGGAACCGTCTGTAATCCAGTCCGATTTAACTTTTATAGCTACATGGGCATCTAATAACCTGATGAAATTGAACGCAAAGAAATGCAAAGAGATGCAAATTTGTTTCTTTCGGAACAAACCTGAACTACCACACTTGTGTGTTGAAGACCAGATCTTTGAATGTGTATCGTCGCACAAGGTTCTTGGATTGATTATCCAGGATGACCTTAAGTGGAACGAACATATTTCGATGATTGTTACCAAAGCATCCAAGCGACTGCATATCCTACGTGTCCTACGACGGGGAGGGATTCCACCGCACGACCTTATCACATTTTATTATGCATTGATTAGATCTACATTAGAATATTGTTGTACAGTATGGCATTGTGGTCTACCTATGTATCTGTCCGAACAAGTCGAGAAAATTCAAAAACGAGCACTGAGGATTATACTGCCAGGTCGATCCTACGGTGAAGCGCAAGAAATGTTGCAGTGTCCTAGGTTGGATATACGTCGAGGTGAACTTTGCGAAAAGACGATGAAAAATATTGCATTGGGCAGTCGTCTTTCTTCCCATCTAACTCTCACCAGTGAGAACGAACATGTGTATAATTTAAGGAATTTTAAACAATTCGCTTCTTTTAAATGTAGAACTGATAGATTTGGTAATAGTTTTTTCCCTAGCATGATTAGTGTTTTAAACAAATAATTGTTCTTAGTTATAAGTTCTTATTTAATAATCTAATGATATATTGTAATATAGTTTCTTTTAGTATTGTAATTCCCATTCAAATCAATTGTAAAACACATTGTAATTCATTTTCATGCGATGATGTGTTATTAAAATACCATTATTATTATAAACCCTTCTTAATATAATCCAATGTACTGGACATGGTTTAATACAGGCATAATTCAAACGTGGCGATTAACTTTGATGAAGATTATGCATGTACTACAATTGGTGGGAGTATGGTTTTGAGCCAAAATCATTGCTGTCAAAATTGGGAGGGCATCTGCCCAACCCTTCCAAGAAGACTCGCTACTACAGCGCATTGTATACCCACTTCCTTCGTTAGTTCACGAGCATTAAGAAGATTAAAGTAATTCTTGTTTTCAGTTTGTTTCTGACAAATGCTTTTAGTGCGAGATAGCTGTCTTATGCTACGACTGACCATCCCCGCTACCTGCTTGTTATACAAACACTTAATGATTTAGGCAATTAAAACTCAATGGTTTGCCATTGAAAGATTATATTCAAGCGATGCTACAGTGTTCCCAAACTATTAGAATATTTTGTGATGCAGTAAATTTAAATTATATTCATCCAACTCAAGTATGTCCATAAGTCGATCTGTTCTTCTGCAGACTCTCAAATGCAATTTTATACCCGCGTGAGTATCCTTGCATGCAAAACACAGAGAAGTTGTTGCCTAAATCAATCGTGTCTCAACTCTGCCGCTGTAGTCGCGATTTGTATTATTGTTATTCCACATTTAGCGGTTATGGTATTCGCTTAAAACGTTTTCACAGCTTACAAAATTTATGGGATAATTTATGGGATAATTTATTGACAGCATGCGATAATTTATTGACCGACAAAAATGTTATTTGTGTCACAGCCAATCATATTGTTCACTGTACGTTCAGACTTGGATGACCAATCAGAAGCGCGAAGTCCTGGAGGACATGGACACCGTACTTCCCACGCGTTTGAAGCGCGTAGTGTTGAATATTGTCGTAGTGTTGAATGCGCGTAGTGTTGAATGTTGAATATTTTCACGATGCCTGGTTTACAAAGATTTAAGAGAAGGTAAGACCTAACGTTGCATGTATAATTTGTCGTATTTTGGAATTTTTTCTAAATTTTGTGACCGAACGATTATTTATTATAATATTGTATATAGTATATATAAATATATATAATAACACTGGCATGCATGAGGCATGTAGCATAAAGCGATTGACTATCTGGAATCGATAAAACAATTTAGAATAATAACACTGCGACATTCAATGATGCATGTTTAGACTCTTGTGTTAATTACTACGATTTATACGATAATGCCTCAATATACCCGAATCATCGATTAACGAGAGGATTGGTTATCGAACGGTTATCGTACAGTGCTGAGAAGGAGAAATCCTTACAAATACGTGTAACCAGTGAAAGAACCTATAATGCGTCAGTAGTCGACCTGGCTTTTTACTCCTGCGTCCATACTACAAGATAATTTTAATACTAGCAGCAACAGTCGACACGGTATAACATAAGTTCACATTTATATATTTATTCACCATAGGTTATATACGGTGTATTATCTATTGGTGCTTTTTTGCCGTATGTGCAAGTTCTTATAGGTGTAATATTATGGGGCGCATCGGAACGAACGCAAATAACAATTACAGTCGAGTTTAGGAACATCTAACTAAACTTTATATTAATTGAATTAACAATCCCGTCAATGACACAGTTAGACTTGCTCCAAGTCTCTCGTTCATTGTCATATAGCATCGATCCTGTTAACCTGTATGGTGTACATTACATGACGTAGCATGGAAAAGTTAGGCGGACTACGTCATGTAATGTACACTATAGTGAACCGATACTATATGACAATGAAAGAGAGTCACTACAAGAGTCAAGAGTCAAGAGACAAGAGACAAGAGATAAGAGACAAGAGACAAGAGCAAGTCAAGAGACAAGAGCAAGTTAAGACACAAGACACAATTAAGACGCAAGACACAAGAGCAAGAGACAAGAGCACGTCTATGACACAGTAGGCTACTGTGTCATAGACGTGCTCACTAGGAGTTCATATGTAAACGTTGAAATTGACCAATCAGGGATGAGGTTCAAAGTTATGCAAGTGTAAAGGGAAACGTAACACGAAGTCTAAAGGGAAACGTAACACAACCTGATCTATTATTAGATCAGTGAACACGACATTTAAATCAGTGCGGTTAAATGGAAAACTGTTGTTTTGAAAGTTCCTGTAGGTTTATAGCTAAATTTGTCAGCATTC